ATGTCGCATACAAAGACTTCTTCGAGAAGGTTGCCGTTCCCGAGGTGAAGGAGAGGAACGAGATTTTTGGATTCTCCCGTGCATCTGCCGAGAAAACTGGAGATATCATCGAGTTCTGGCTTGGTGTCTTGGACGTGGCCAATATGGCCAAGGGAGTCGTAGATGTTTTCAATGCTAGTGTTGATCCAGCTGAGTATCTCAATGGATTGGAAAAGGCACTGGCTCAATTCACATCGACCTCCCGAACCTCGAGCACCATCAATGACAAGAGACGGGGATCCTTCGACTGCACACTGCAAACTGCAGAAGCCGAAAGGGTCATGAAGCTCATCCACGCAATCCCCGGATATGATTCGCTGGCCAATTTCTGCTGCCTCACGGACTGGGAGAAGGATCAGGTATTCTCTCATTATCGCAGGAAGAACAACATCACAGGGGGTGACGCCAGCATGGGCACTGATGCCGATGCCAAGCCAGGTGACGAGTCGTCGGCTCACCCTGGGGAGGAGGAAGCTGATGAGCCAGCGAACGACCCCACCGATGTGGTCAGGGACTCAGAGAATTCCGGGAAACAACAACTTTTGGATGCGTTGGGAAAACTCTTCACCGTCTCTGAGGATGTCAACGTGTGCTTGTATTGTGGTAGCACCCAACATGGCCATCTTGAATGTGAACATGAGAAGAGGGATGAAGTCAGAAAAGTGCTAAAGGCCGTCCGAGCGTCGCTCGAGGCTGATAGTCCAACATCTGATGACGTCGATATGGAGCCTCCTGAGCACAAGAAGGACGGTTCAGGTGCTACTGATGGGTCGGGGCAAACGGATGAACCTACAAAATCGAGGTTTGGTGAACACCAATGGTACGACAGCATCAGAACTATGTCTGAAGTTGGTGACCTCGATGAGTATGGCAGATTCTGCATAGAAGGACGTGATGTTACAAAGCTAGGACCACAGAACATTGTTGACCTCAACGAAGTGGTCAGAGACGCTATTGTCAGAGGAGGAGGTGACTCTTGGTCAGTGCCAGACTTTATGGCAAGCTACTCTGATAACAACATCAGGAAGCCCTTCTACAAGAGAGTCGAGGCGCCGCAAGATGGTTTCTTGAAAATCATCCCGACCACGGGGGCCCATTTCTTCAACTGCTCTTACTTTGGCGGTGTAGAATATGCGGCCAACTACCGATTCGAGACTGGCAACCGACTCAATACCTACGAGGACAAGGTGAGTACATCACTAAACAGGATCCTGCGGCACAACGTGGGGAAGGTATCAGAACAACAGAGTCTGTCATGTGATGACGCCGGCTGGGTGCCCATAGAGGAGGTGCTCAAATGCGAGTCTATCTGGAGGCACGAGTACGCACGCTGGCCACATGTATTCCTTGCTCCAAAAGGAAGAGCAAATGATCAGAGTGCATGGAATGTCGATGAGGCAAACTACCGCATGACGTTGCTCTTCAAGATCATGTTCCACTGTGCCCGGTATGGACGTCGTGTTCGTGAACAAGTCTTGGCATTTGGTATCAACAAGGACATCGAGCGCACCAGCCTGACGTGCATTGACAACAAAGTCGATGCGAACACGAACATTCCTGATGAAGGTCTACTGCTCTACCCTGTGGCGGTCCGTGCTCCTACGGGGCACAAGGAAGGATCTTCAAGGGACGACGTCTCATTGCTGTCCTCATTACTTTCACATCCAATCGCGCCCAACACCATTTTGTCGTTACCGGTTTGTTTCCACATCACCAAGAAGACCAACCTTCGAAGCATTTGGAGGCAGGGATTAATTCCAGGAGGTCTTGGAGAAGGTCATCGGATGTTCACGTTCTTCAACCCGTATGTGCCATGGGATCACAGATCATGGACTATCACGAAGAGCGTTGATACGCGAAAGGGGGACTACATTTGCTTGTTCATCCCGACCGAGACCTTGATGGTGGAATATGGCGGTCGACTGACTGACTCGGGACAGATCGTCTCACCAAAGATCATCCCGTTCTCGGCAATCAAAGGAGGATGGATTCAGGACCCAAAGGACCAAAACAATAAGACATGGCTCCGGTTGTTCGTCCCGTCGGGCGACGACCAGGTAGTCCGGTCTGGAACTGTCAAATCAAGAACGGTAGCCACCAAGGAGTCCATCTTGAGGGTTGCAAGTCAATGCATCGACGCCGAAGATCAACCGTTTGACGAAACCGCCATGGATGCCATGAACATCGTCAACCAATTCAAGAACGACCTCATCAAGCCTGGCGGACAAGAACAATACCTGGCCCGCATCAAGCTGATTGACTACATAGTCGAACGCAAAAGGGTGCAAACATCAGGTTGCCGCCATTGTCCTCACTGTCTCAATGAGACGCCGACAAAACTAGCAGTGTGTCTAGTTTGCTGGACGGAACTGGAAAGTTGTGGAATCCGTCCCTATCGGCTACAAGCTCCTGAAGACGATGAAGATGAGGCCACGAAGAAAGAGATCGATGAAGAAGTTCGTCGACAAGAAGAATCGTTGTTCAAGGATACGGTCCATCAAGCACAAGAAAACGTATCCGAATCCAACGACTATGGCTTCAATCCCGACGAGGTCGACTACAACGAAGGCGATGATGAAGAAATGGATCAGGAGGAGGAAGCCCAACAGGAAGACGACGAAATCGTTGAAGAAGACGAAGATGAAATGGAAGTCGAACCTGAAGATGAATCCTCTTCCAAACTTCCAGCATGGACAAAGAACCTCGAGAGCGGCAGCAAGGGTATGCCAGAAGACGGACTTATCAACAATGATGTCTCCGAGGCCGCGGCTCACTTGTATGACAATGCTGTCATGTCAAAGGTCATCACAATGTTCAGGCTCTACTACAAACAGAGAGTCACTCTGACCCCAGAGGAGTACTATGAGATGATGACGGAAACCAAGCGAGTCCGGCTGGACCTGGACGACTTCTGTCCTTATACAGGAGAAGACCAGGATGGCAACCTCAAGCGACCGACGGAGCTGGAATTGGATGAACTCTTTCAGCAGAAAGGGAAGAGGAATTCATGGTCAGAAGGAGAGAAGTTATACTCAGGGCGACCAAGAAACATGATGATGCCTGTCATCAAGACTTTAGAGATCTATGAGAAGATGATGGAATTTCTGGTACGCGCTGGGTACACTCCTGAGTCATTAGGCTTTCTCATGCCAATGAACCGAATGCAGGCTGATGCCCAAGGGAAACAGGAGATGCGAGTAACCATCAGCAATTTCCTTCGACGACTGCTCAAAGGAACCTTTCCGGAGCACGAGTCATACACCTTCTTTCGCTCCGGGAGCCACGGCTTCCCCAACTGCATCGAACTCCCAGCTTTCTCGGTATATCTGAGCCTGAGGGAGAAAGAACAGAGAGTAGAACTGCTCTTTGCAGCCCAACAGTGTGGCATTCCTCTACCTCAAAACTTTGTCAGCAAGATGGCTTATGCTATTCAGCTGGCCGAGGCCGAGGCGCAGAGGGGAAAGACCGAGATGAAAGCGAAGATGGCTCCAACCCTTGGCGACGAAGTGGTGAGTGAAGTATTCAAAGCGGTTGGACATACTGCAGCTTCCAAGTTTGCTAAACCAACTGCGCAACCTTCACAGACACCTGAAGGCACTGGTTCAGCATCATCCTCATCGGCTAGTGCACCAAAGGGCAAGGCTATGCCGAAATCCCATGAACCATCAAAGGCACCGCCTGCAAAGCCTTCATCGCCGAAAGCTGCTCCGAAACGTGCGGCAGGATGGGAGAGAACTCCAACAGCACCTCAATGGAAGAAAGTCCGCCGTGAGCAGTAAATCAATTACTTCGATCCGTCAAGATGATCACTGGAATATGAGATGTGTATCGTCTTTATGAACAGATGATCAGGAAAGGATCAACTGAGTGGACTCTGAGCGAGGCAGTAGAATAATTCGCTTAGGTTCAAGATTTTTGATATTCCCAATCTGCACGAATTCTGCACTGTGCACGTGAATTCGTTAGTTAGCGTTGTAAATCTTTAGTAGCGAAGCGATCCATTTCTCCCGACGGGTGAGTGGTATGCCTAGCCAACGTAGAAAAGTAGATGTTAGCTAGCAATAATTCGCGTTGTACAGTTTGATAAAGCGCCGAAGCATCGACAGCCAGAGAGTAGGCGAACCCTGAACCATTATTCCCGACGGGTATGTGGGGAAGGGGGAGCCGAATGGCACGTTTTATGTACATAGGCGTAATTCAAGTAGCAGAAACAATCTAATTCAAAGTTCCCTCTCTCGTGTCCGTGGTTCGAAGAATACCACGGGCATGGGGGGTGTCAAAGGGAACTGAACACTAGGACACTTGTGATGTACATGCTTAATTGTACATCTGGACGCCGTACTGGCTCAAGTCCGTGTGCGAGGAAAAGGGTCCGAGCTGCGCTTGCCATGCCTCATCAGTGTCCGGCAATACTAGCATAACAGGTACCGCAATTGATAACTACATCCAGAACAAGGATTCATTTGTTCACACCTTCGATCCTTGAAACATTCAGCAGACTTTGGATCGAGCCATGCAGAACCTTCGCTCCGATGTGCAGATGGGCAGATGAGTCTTGAGGCCTGGGCACATCACCGGTTACGCGTCCTTACCCGGAGATTCCTCCCGAAACCTACCTGAAACGTCCCGAATGCTGCCAGGTCATGCAGAGGAAACTGGCTTGATGATGTCAAGCATGGCTGGACAGCGGACGGTTCCTTCTCATTATTTTGGTTTGACTTTGCTCAGAGAGTCGATTCATCATAAAATTTGAACCTTCCAGGCTTACTTCAAATTCTTCCGGTCGAACTAAGCCATTCCTTTCGGGCACAACAACTTCTTGGTTCACCGATTGGCAGAAGTTGGAAGGTTGATTACTGTAAATCCCCATTACGTCACCATTAAATCACCAGGTTGACCACTGAACTTGTGCTGACCTCCCGGCCTCCCTTTTCGAGCTGCTGCCAAGTTGCCCTGCGCGCATGGCCGATGCCTGCGCTTGCCGAACATGGACGCTTCGGGATTTGGGCGCTGCTCTGCAGGCGGATTCACTCGATTCACTTTGCAGATCGGAAAATGACCAGATGATCTTGTTTCAATGGATTGGTTTAAGGGAAAATTTACAGGAAAACCCCATACTTCATGGGAAAATAACTCTGGTTTCCGGTGAAGATTTTCCCAAGAAAACCAATCCATTGTTTGTTGCGAATTTTCCAGGCTTGCAAGAAGAGTGCGCAATGGCAGCTGGCCTTGCAATTGCTGTCGCAAGTCAATTCTCTTGGCCAAGGCGCTGATGCCCCTTTTACGGTCCAGTCAGTGCCAAACTGTGCCAGCGAGACACCAGCAAGACGGCAAATACATACATATTATAATATGTATATAAATACATATGTATGCACGTGTAATTTATTATACGTATATATATATATATTATCTAAGATTCAAAAGGTATGCTTTCATATGGTTCTATCTTATGCCAGAGGTTCGTGGCAGTTTAAGGTGGCAAGTTTGGTGGCAAGTTCGGTGGCGGTGGCAGTTAGATATGGTAATGTGGGTGGCAGTTTCAGTGGCAATGAAGCGTTGGTGGCAAGTTTGATGGCAGAATGTGATTGCAAAAATGGTGGCAACCGTATTTTGGTGGCAAAAGGGGTGGCAACTTTGCATGGCAAAAATTGAGCCGGAAGTTTAGCAATCACATTTTGGCGGCAGCAGAGGTGTCAAAATTTGACGGCAGCTTTTTGTGCAGAAAAGGTTGCAAACACCTTCAGTCACAAAAAGGCGTTGAGTGTACATGGCACATGTTGACAGAAAGGGTGTGAGAGACTTTTTGGCGGCAAATGGGGTGGTAAGTTGATAGCAAAAGTGCTGGCAAAATTTGGTGCTACATCAACTACAGAGAAAGATGTTGACCAAAATCATGCCAGCCCTATTGCACCTTCTGCGGAGGCGACACCCACCGACCCTATGAATTAAAGGACCAGATAACCCCACATGGCAACTTCTTCCAATAATGAGCACCAAATGTTGTAGCGGGGACGGGGAAGAAAGGAAAGACAAAGGAGGTGGAGGACCGAGAAGTAGAACAAAATTGTGTGTGTGTGTGACAAAGTTGTGTGTGAAAGATGGTGTGTGTGTGTGACAAAGTTGTGTGAAAGAGAGCGTGTGACAAAGTTGTGTGTAAAAGATGGTGTGCGACAAAGTGGTATGTGAAAGCCGCTGTGGTGAAAGATGATGTGTGACAAAGTTGTGTGTGTGTGAAAGATGGTGTGATGAAAGATGGTTGGTGACAAATTGCTGTGTGAAAGGTGGTGTGGTGAAAGATGGTGTGTGACAAAGTGGTGTGTGTGAAGGATGGTGTGGTGAAAGATGGTGTGTCAAAGATGGTGTGTGAGAGATGGCGTGTGAAGGATGGTGTGGTGAAAGAAAGTGTGTGACAAAGTGGTGTGAAAGATGGTGTGTCAAAGATGGTGTGTGAGAGATGACGTGTGAAGGATGGTGTGGTGAAAGAAAGTGTGTGACAAAGTGGTGTGAAAGATGGTGTGTCAAAGATGGTGGGTGACAAAGTGCTGTGTGAAAGGTGGTGTGTGAAAGATGGTGTGTGACAAAGGTGGGCGTGAAAGATGGTATGTGAAAGGTGGTGTGTGAAAGATGGTGTGTGACAAAGATGGTGTGTGAAAGATCGTGTGTCAAAGATGGTGTGTGAAAGATGGTGTGTGACAAAGTGGTGTGTCAAAGATGGTGGGTGACAAAGCGGTGTGTGAAAGATGGTTTGTCAAAGATGGTGGGTGACAAAGTGGTGTGTGAAAGATGGTTCGTGAAAGGAGGTGGATGTCACCAAGCGCCACACCTGCCACGCAAAACGAAGGTAGATGTCTCCAAGTGCCACGCCTGCCACGTGAAACGAAGGTGGATGTCACCAAGCGCCTTGCCTGGCACGCAAAGTGGAAGTCGATGTCACCAAGTGCCACACCTGCCACGCAAAGTGGAGGTCCATGGTCGCCAAGTGCCACACCTGCCACGCAAAGTGACTGTCCATGTCGCCAAGTGCCACGCCAACCAAGCGCGCCACCAGAGCCAGCCCAGTGCCATAAGTGCCACGCCTGCCACGCAAAGTGGAGGTCCATGTCACCAAGTGCCGCACCTGCCACGCAGAATGCACGCACATGTCACCAAGTACCACGCCTGCCACGCAAACAGCGGCGGCGTCCACGGCGTCAACTGGGAACCAAGCGCGCCACCAGAGCCAGCCCAGCGCCATAAGTGCCACGCCTGCCATGCAGAATGCACGTACATGTCTCCAAGCGCCTCATCTGCCACGCAGAATGCACGTACATGTCTCCAAGTACCACGCCTGCCACGCAAACAGCGGCGTCCACGGCGTCAACTGGGAACCAAGCGTGCCACCAGAGCCAGCCCAGTGCCATAAGTGCCACGCCTGCCACGCAGAATTCACGTAGAAGTTGTGCGTGGACAAGTTGTGTGAGGACAAGCTGTGTGTGAGCGATTTGGTGAAGACAAGTTGTGTGTGAGCAAGTTGTGTGAAGACAAGTTGTGTGTGAGCAAGTTGTGTGATGGCAAGTTGTGTGCGAGCGATTTGGTGAGAACAAGTTGTGTGTGTGTGAGCAAGTTGTGTGATGACAAGTTGTGTGATGCCAAGTTGTGTGTGAGCGATTTGGTGAGGACAAGTGTGTGAGCAAGTTGTGTGATGACAAGTTGTGTGTGGACAAGTTGTGTGTGGACAAGTTGTGTGAGGACAAATTGTGCGGGAGCGATTTGGTGAAGACAAGTTGTGTGTGTGGACAAGTTGTGTGGGAGCGATTTGGTGAAGACAAGTTGTGTGTGAGCCAATTGTGTGATCGCAAGTTGTGAGTGAGCGATTTGGTGAGGACATGTTGTGTGTGAGCAAGTTGTGTGATGACAAGTTGTATGTGGACAAGTTGTGTGTGAGCGATTTGGTGAGGACAAGTTGTGTGTGAGCAAGTTGTGTGTGGACAAGTTGTGGGCGGGAGGGGCGGGAGGCGGAGGAGAAGGCGGCGGCGGGATACAGAACCAAAAACAAGAACCCCACACAAAGATGTGGGGAAAAAATGTTGAGCCAAATTTTGCCCAGGCAGCTGCCCACCTGCCCGTCAAGAAATAAGGTCGATTTTTGCCCAAATAAGCCTTATTTTTGACAAAAAATAGGCCTTATTTTTTGACGGGCAACGATGGCAACCAAAAACGCGCACGCTTGTCCTTTCAAGACAAACCGCACTAGTTTTTGGTTGCCATCGTTGCCCGGCAAAAAATAAGGCTTATTTTGGCAAAAATCGACCTTATTTCTTGACGGGCAGGTGGGCAGCTGCCTGGGCAAAATTTGGCTCAACATTTTTCCCCCACATCTTTGTGTGGGGTTCTTGTTTTTGGTTCTGTATCCCGCTGCCGCCGTTTTTGGTTGCCATCGTTGCCCGTCAAGAAATAAGGTCGATTTTTCCCAAAATAAGGCTTATTTTGGCAAAAATAGGCCTTATTTTTTGACGGGCAACGATGGCAACCAAAAACGCGCACGCGTGTCCTTTCAAAACAAACCGCACTAGTTTTTGGTTGCCATCGTTGCCCGGCAAAAAATAAGGCCTATTTTTGTCAAAAATAAGGCTTATTTTGGCAAAAATCGACCTTATTTCTTGACGGGCAGGTGGGCAGCTGCCTGGGCAAAATTTGGCTCAACATTTTTTCCGCACATCTTTGTGTGGGGTTCTTGTTTTTTGGTTCTGTATCCCGCCGCCGCCGTTTTTGGTTGCCATCGTTGCCCGTCAAGAAATAAGGTCGATTTTTGTCAAAAATAAGGCTTATTTTGGCAAAAATCGACCTTATTTTTTGACGGGCAACGATGGCAACCAAAAACTAGTGCGGTTTGTCTTGAAAGGACAAGCGTGTGCGTTTCTGGTTGCCATCGTTGCCCGTCAAAAAATAGGGCTTATTTTCTGTCAAAAATAAGGTTTATTTAATTTGGCAAAAATCGACCTTATTTCTTGACGGGCAGGTGGGTAGCTGCCTGGGCAAAATTTGGCTCAACATTTTTTTCCCCACATCTTTGTGTGGGGTTCTTGTTTTTGGTTCTGTATCCCGCCGCCGCCTCCTCCTCCGCCTCCCGCCCCTCCCGCCCACAACTTGTCCACACACACACAACTTGTCCTCACCAAATCGCTCACACACAACTTGTCCACACACAACTTGTCATCACACAACTTGCTCACACAAACGTTGCTCACACACAAACTTGCTCACACACAACTTGTCTTCACCAAATCGCTCCCACTTGCAACTTGTCCACACACAACTTGTCATCACCAACTTGCTCACACACAACTTGTGTGCTCACACACAACTTGTCATCACACAACTTGCTCACACACAACTTGTCTTCACCAAATCGCTCTTGTCCTCACACAACTTGTCCACACACAACTTGTCCACACACAACTTGTCATCACACAACTTGCTCGCACACAACTTGTCTTCACCAAATCGCTCCCACACAACTTGTCCTCACACCACTTGTCCACACACAACTTGTCCACACACAACTTGTCATCACACAACTTGCTCGCACACAACTTGTCCTCACCAAATCGCTCACACACAACTTGTCCTCACACCACTTGTCCACACACAACTTGTCCACACACAACTTGTCATCACACAACTTGCTCGCACACAACTTGTCCTCACCAAATCGCTCACTCACGACTTGCCATCACACAACTTGCTTACACACAACTTGTCTTCACCAAATTGCTCCCACACAACTTGTCTTCACCAAATCGCTCCCGCACAACTTGTCCTCACACAACTTGTCCACACACAACTTGTCCACACACAACTTGTCATCGCACAACTTGCTCACACACTTGTCCTCACCAAATCGCTCACGCACAACTTGTCATCACACAACTTGCTCGCACACAACTTGTCTTCACCAAATCGCTCCCACACAACTTGTCCTCACACCACTTGTCCACACACAACTTGTCCACACACAACTTGTCATCACACAACTTGCTCGCACACAACTTGTCCTCACCAAATCGCTCACACACAACTTGTCCTCACACAACTTGCCCACACACAACTTGTACGTGATTTCTGTGTGGCAGGCGTGGCACTTATGGCACTGGGCTGGCTCTGGTGGCGCGCTTGGTTCCCAGTTGACGCCGTGGACGCCGCCGCTGTTTGCGTGGCAGGCGTGGTACTTGGCGACACGTGCGTGCATTCTGCGTGGCAGGTGCGGCACTTGGCGACATGTACGTGCATTCTGCATGGCAGGCGTGGCACTTATGGCACGGTGGCGCGCTTGGTTCCCAGTTGACGCCGTGGACGCCGCCGCTGTTTGCGTGGCAGGCGTGGTACTTGGTGACACGTGCGTGCATTCTGCGTGGCAGGTGCGGCACTTGGTGGCATGGACCTCCACTTTGCGTGGCAGGCGTGGCACTTATGGCACTGGGCTGGCTCTGGTGGCGCGCTTGGTTCCCAGTTGACGCCGTGGACGCCGCCGCTGTTTGCGTGGCAGGCGTGGCACTTGGCGACATGGACCTCCACTTTGCGTGGCACTTATGGCACTTGGTGACATCGACTTCCACTTTGCGTGCCAGGCAAGGCGCTTGGTGACATCCACCTTCGTTTCACGTGGCAGGCGTGGCACTTGGAGACATCTACCTTCGTTTTGCGTGGCAGGTGTGGCGCTTGGTGACATCCACCTCCTTTCACGAACCATCTTTCACACGCCACTTTGTCACCCACCATCTTTGACAAACCATCTTTCACACACACCACTTTGTCACACACCATCTTTGACACACCACTTTGTCACACACCATCTTTCACACACCATCTTTGACACACTATCTTTCACACACCACCTTTGTCACACACCAGCTTTCACACACCACCTTTCACACACCATCTTTCACGCCCACCTTTGTCACACACACCATCTTTCACACACCACCTTTCACCCACCATCTTTCACACACCACCTTTCACCCACCATCTTTGACACACCATCTTTCACACCATCTTTCACACCACTTTGTCACACACCATCTTTCACCACACAATCCTTCACACACCATCTCTCACACACCAGCTTTGACACACCATCTTTGACACAACATCTTTCACACCATCTTTCACACACCGTCACAGGCTTTCGCACACCACTTTGTCTCACACCATCTTTCACCACACCATCCTTCACACACCACTTTGTCACACACACACACACCCCATCTTTCAACACACCACCTTTCACACACACACACAACTTTGTCACACATCATCTTTCACCACAGCGGCTTTCACATACCACTTTGTCGCACACCATCTTTTACACACAACTTTGTCACACGCTCTCTTTCACACAACTTTGTCACACACACACACACCATCTTTCACACACAACTTTGTCACACATACACAATTTTGTTCTACTTCTCGGTCCTCCACCTCCTTTGTCTTTCCTTTCTTCCCCGTCCCCGCTACAACATGCGGTGCTCATTATTGGAAGACTTTGCCATGTGGGGTTATCTGGTCCTTTAACTCTGTGCCCCGCAATGTTCCAGCATGGCTTAGACACAGAAAATCATTAGACCAAAACACAACCGAAAGGCAATTGCTGACCAAGTGAGCTGTAAACACAACAATTTCTGAGCACTAAGTTTGATCATTCGACGCCACAACAATCTGATTGAAACTGTTCACTTGCTTTGCATATGACACAATTCCAGAAGCCGCTTGTGCAAGCCAACGGCTGCATACAATATCCTTTGGCCATACAATGTGCCATCTGCTTTTCCCACTTACGCGTCGCGTCTTTAGCCCTTGCCACATTTTTTGCCAGAGCTTTGCTACCTGTGTTGCTATTGCTTTTGCCCGCAATGCAAGTTTCCCTTTCGTTGCCACGTGTGTTGCCAAGGGCTTTTGCTCGCAACCCAAATTTTGCCATTCAATTTGCCGCCTGTGCTTTTGCCCCCGCCACGTATTTGCCAGTGTTTTTTGCCACCGATGTTGCCATTACATTTGCCCCCGTCGCTTTTTTCTATCCATGTTGCCCTGCAGATTGCCACCGCCATTGCCATTGCCATTGCTTTTGCCCTCAAAGTTGCCATCTTTGTTGCCATCAAATTTGGGCGCCTAATAGAGCATTGTTCTTGAATTTTAGATAATATATATATATTATAGATTTATCATATTGGACATGTCGCAGTAGTCTTTGTTTGTGCCAACAGTGGATCATGTTTGCTGCAAGCTGATTGTTTGCTTGTCAGGAACTGCAATCCTCTATACAGCTGCCATAGGGTCATGCAAGAACAACTGGCGCCATGCTGTGCAGCTTCTATGCAACATGAAGTCCATCGCTGTGGAGGTGCCAATGGAAGAACTCACGTTGGACCAACGACCATGTGACCATGTGAGGAACAGAATCGGGACTTCCTGTCCAAACAAGATGCCTTTCTGTTGATAATTGAACACATCATAAACAGAAGCCAGGCAGATGCCTTCTGCGGAACCGCGCTGCTTCCATTGCTGCATTGGCGCCAAGCTGTTTACTTGCAGCAGAACAAGGCCCATCGATTCGATGGGGCGAAGGTTAAGGAGTTGTTGCAATGATCAGCGACGGTGAGTTTTTCGTAATGGATTTCTTGCCTCTTTGGGATTCTTTAGGTACTGAAGTGGTACTGACAGAAATGATGTTATAAGTAGCTGCAAGCCGTTGAGGCGACTGGTGTGAACATCATCACCTTGAACGCAGCTACTTGGCCGATCCGGAAATGAGATGGTCATTTTTTCGCGTAGATCTCGATGATCACGGAGATGTGCGGGGACTCATGATGTTTTTTTGGAGATTCAAATTTGGAAACCACGTCCACAGGCTATGAAGACCTGCGAGAAGACCAACCGCTGGCAGTGCGCTTTAGCTCTACACCAAGGCGCATTGGAAGCAAGCATGATACGAATTGAAGTTACAGAGATGTTACAGAGATGTTACAGAGATGTTCGTGAATTGAATTCATGAATTAAATTTGAATGGCAATGCAACTCGTGAATGAATATGCAACGCGAGTGAAAGGATGTTTATTGAGTACACAATGTGCAAACATGTTTGTGAAGATTTGCGAAGCTGGACTCTGGACCCATTTCTTGCGGTATTTCATGGTCCCACCAGACCAGGCGAGTTTCAACCTGACGCGATCTCCTTCAACACAGCCATTTGCGCTTGTGAGACGCTTGGCAGGATGCAGATGGGACGATATGGGACGATATGGGACGATATGGGACGATATGGGACGATATGGGACGATATGGGACGATATGGGACGATATGGGACGATATTATTAAAACATATGCGAAACATACAATTATCATCAATGATCTATAATCATAGTATATTATATATATACACTATAATCCTAACATATACTTATATAATCGTATATAATTACAACATATTCTCTTGACAAATCTTGAGAATGCTTAGTAAGCATGAACACATTTTTTTTTGACATCCCAAAATGAAGGACGTATGGTTCTGGCACCACTGACGAAGCACTCAGGGCTGCAACGTGGTGCTGGGCACTGCAGCTTCTGCACTCCGCTGGTTACGTGGCATAGCCACGTTTTTTGTAGGTTTCTGGTGCGGTTGCTCAACCAACCGCCATTTTTCATGACAGCATTTCCATATTTCTGGATTTTCTGGCACGGGCAGGCAATTCGGCAACAATTTGTTGATGTTGAGTCAGTCGTCCTCTGTGGAATTAGGTTCCGTGAATATCGTCACCTTCAATTCAGCCATGAGAGCCTTGGTCACTGGCGAACAATGGCAAAGAGCATTAAGCATCTGGGCAGAAATTTCAGGATTAGAGGAAAGACAGCAAAATCATCAAACCATCAAAACCAAATCAAACCCGAATTTAATGCATTTCTGTCGAAGTTAGCTACTGTCAGCAACTTTTCGGGTTGTCATCAATCTTTGCACTAGCCATCTACTAGACATGTCTCCGTCATGTCTGTTCCCACACATTGCACTGGGCTGCACTGGGAATGTCGCTGAGGTTTGTTGGAGATCATCCACTTTCGACGGCTGAGCATGACATCAGTGACCTCCTCTACGGCCATCACGGCGTGCGATCGAGGCGCGCCTCTGGAGTGGTGCAAAGCATTGCCACAGTTGATATGCTCTTCCACTGATACCCCTGGTTGATGCTGGTTGATGCTGGTTCATGCTGGTTGATGCTGGTTGATTGTTGAAGCCATTTTGGTCAAAGCACCTAAAAGTGTACGTACTACCTTCCCGCGACCACGTGTTCTCTTGTTGCAATGGCAATGGCACAGCCAAAGAAGCCAGCAGGTGGAGCTTACGGTCAATTCCTGGCCGAGAAACGTCCAGAACTGCAGACGCAGTGCAAAGGACAGCCCATCACGGCTATCACCAAGTTGGCCTCTGAGAAGTTTAAGGCTCTCAGTGAGGAGGACAAGAAGATCTACCAAGAGAAGTTCGTGGCTGCCAAGGCCAAGTATGATGAAGACATGAAGGCATTCCTGGAAGCAGGAGGTGAGAAGAAAGCCACTAAGAAGAAGGGCAAGAAAGACATCAAGAAGAAGAAGGACCCTCAAGCTCCGAAGAAGCCAGCTGGGGGTGCGTACGGCTGTTTCCTTGCGAAGAATCGCGCTGCTTTCATGAAGGAATGCAGCGGTCAGCCAGTGACGGCTGTGACGAAGCTGGCATCTGCCAAATGGAAGGACCGAACATGTTTGCTCTCAGTCATTATATCAATTATCCAATGCTATCAATGAGCTTTCACATTGCTGAGTCGTTGAGTTTTGTGTCTTACCAATCTTCGCAAAGATGTTTGCAATCCCACTGTTGCTTCACCTTTTGACATGTGTGAAGGAGCTCAGTGATGAAGACAAGAAGATCTATGAGGAGGAGTTCCAGAAGAAGAAGGAAGAATACCAGGAAGCCATGAAGTCCTACGTTCCATTGTCCAATGCCGACACAGATGATGAACCCCCCGCAAAGAAGCGCAAGACCAAGGAGGGAGCTGCTGAAGCTGCCAAGTCCAAAGAGTCCAAAGCGGCTGAGAAAGCAGATGCCAAGGCTTCGAAGGCTCAGGCCAAGGCTGAGGCCAAGGAAGCGAAGGCCAAGGCGAAAGCTGAGGCAAAGCCCAAGGGAAAGGCCAAGGCCAAGGCCAAGGCAGCAGATGCCAGCGCCGGAGTGAAGCTGGAACCTGCCGTGGCGGCCAAGGCAGAGAAAGCAGGATGGAAAGATGTTCTTGTGAAGCTGGCGGCGCTTCCTGATGTGATTGCAGCTGGCAAGAGCCAGACTGCCATGCTCCAGGCATTGGAAAAGGTGAATGGATTGTTGCATCCGGCCAAGAGAGCCCTTTTGGGTGCGTAAGTTGTCAAGAGTGAGATCTATATTTGAATCCCAGAAACGGGGGATGTCAATTGCAAATTGAACGTGTGTTTTGTGGACACGTTCTTCGGGGTGCAATTGTAGATCATTCGTGCTGCGTCGCAGTCTCTGGCATCAATCGTGCTTTGGAGTGGAAAAATGAGCTGCAGCTACAGCATGTTATTACATCCCAAAACCACGTTTCCAAATTCATGCGATGCCATATATGCTGCAAGGGTTCCTCTACGCTCCAGTTCTGCCAGGGGGTTTGTGGCAGCTTGCCCTTGCTCTTCTTTGGGACGACTTGGCCATGGGGAATATACAGGTGGTCACGATCAGTTCGGCGATCACAGCATGTGACGCTTGGCAATTTAAGATATCTAAGCAGGGGCCTATCTGTCGTGTGACGTCTGCAGGAGCTGAAGCCACTGAGATGTCATGGCCTTTACAAAGCTGAATCGATAGTGTGCCACTAAGGAGAGAGCGGGTGAATGGCAGAAGGCACTACAACTTTTCTGGGAGCTCACTGGAAAGGTAAAATTGGACATCATTGCAGCTTGGTTGTGTTGACCCTTTCTCCAATTTGGATATCGGATAGGGAATCACCCAGTCCCATCACTTCCAGTGGATACAGCCGGATACGGGTTCTATCGGGTTCTCATGATGCTTCTGAGGCCTTCAACGCAGCCATCAGTGCAAGCCGTGGCCAGTGGGTTTTGTCCATGCAGCTGCTATGGATCTTGCGAAGTCGTGGGATCAAGGTGCCAGAGAAGGGCATGGTGTGAGATGGTGTGAGTATTTGACTCCCAAAAGTGTCCCAAACCCCAGTGCAATCTGCTTTTCAAGCCCCTTCAGGATAGCATGGTGACCATGGCAACCATTGCGACCAGCTGTGCAAGTGGCCGATACTCGTTTTGGAACATTCCACATGACTGGTGGATACTGGTGGAATGTAGCAGCCAAAAGAGTAAAACCATTTTGCCGCCCAGGACAATGGCACCGCGCAACCCTACTATCATCCCGCTCGATTGTTGGGCAACTCGGACATCGTTGTTGATCTTATTGAACTCCTTGCGAGTCCGAAAACATTTGTTTGGCAATCGTCCATGTCGCTTCTTTCTTGCCTTTTGAATCCTTTTGAGCTATGATACATATGATACCATGATACCATGGTTGGGGAAATGAACATACATCTAGCATCATGTAGCAGCGATTTTTCCGCTTCATCGCTTCACCGCCCGAATCTGTTTCGCCTTGGTACGGCCAGCTGAAGAGCTTCAGGCAGAATGCGGCACTCAGTGCCTGTGAAGGCACTGGACATTGGCAGGAGTCCCTCACTTTCTTGATGGAGATGAAACTGGAGGCCGGAGAAGGGATTTGTGCCATGGCTCTCTTCTCCTAGCTGTGATGACAGGTGGTGATATTTTCCACTGAAATTCTTTGAAACTCTTCTACTAAAGTTTTGTGTTTGCTACCCAATAGATTGATCCAAAACGCATTTGAGCTTGGATCACTTGTTATCCTTGATTCCCGGTGAGCCCTTCAGGCCGTACAGCCAAGTTCAGTGTCGTGGAACAGCTGCGCCAGTGCTATGAGTGAGAAGTGGACAGTAGGCTACTCAAGTCCACGTTCTCATGCAGGATTGCAGAACCATTTCATGTGAAGCTGAGACATGGGCTTAAACTTGAGGGAGAGAGGGAGAGAGAGAGGGAGAGAGAGATGGAGTTGCTTGAGAACTTGTGCTGTCATGGATTTCTAAGGTAGCCATGGCGTTGCTGTGCCAAGCTCAGGACAAAGTTTCAAACTGGAAGCTATACTGAATGATTTTCAACAGCGTTTATGGAAGGGGAAGGCAGTTGGGCATTACAAAATATGCATGCTGCCTGCATCGTTTGCATTTCCTGTAGACTGATTGGTGATTCATTGGGAGGAGGGGTGCCTTGAAACCACCTTGCCACTGAGCAATGCCGCAATGAGTGCCTGCCAGAAACTTGTTTGCAGGCTGTTAGCTGGGGGGATTGGGTTCATGATTGGCTCACGATGTTCTCATAGCCATAATTTGTCACTTGTCCAGAAATACCCTAAGTTATGGCAATTTTAATGAAGACAATGATGATCGACCATGCGATTTGGGGGTTTCCTATTTTTGGACAATCCCAAATGAGCCAAAACCACCAAGGACATGTGCGCATTGGCCACAGACCCTGGGTGTGCTGGCTGATCTTCCACAGAGGAAGCTGCAAGGCTCCAGCCTCAGAAAAAAACATGGCCTACGCACCATAGGCGGACATGTGTGACACATAGCCTTATTCATGCCACCACAAGAAACCAAGGAGATCTGTTGAGCTTTAGTGCGGGGCTTCAAAGCACTTGGCGCAGCAGCCTGGAAGTGCTGAAGATGCTGCAAGATGCATCAATCCAGGAACGCACTGGGCACACTTTGCATGATCAAAAGCTTTCTGAATAAGAGCTTGTGGAGCAGAATTGGAAGTTCTCAAGATCTTAGCAGTCTTAGCAGCCTTAGCCTTTTTTTGATGATGATCATGATGTAGAGTGTGGTAGCCACGGACGTAGCTCTAAAATAAGCAGGAGCGAGCCATGAAAGTCCGTGTGAATACACAGAGTTGGACATGTGGTCCTGCTGAGTTCTTCTTTTCGCGTTCAGTACGGAGGTGGATGCCATTGCGTACGATGCCATGCTGAGTACATTAGAGAAAGCAGGACAAGGCAAGTGCGGAGCGACCATGTTTGCTGTGGGATGCTCTACACCTTCGAAACATGCTGTGAACAATCCTGTGGATACCTGGGACATACATGTTACATGTTTGCACATGTGGGCTTCTTGACCTGCTAAACTTATTGAACAACGCCTTGCTGCAGATTGATTTCAGAGCTTCGGCTCTTCAGCGCGTTTTTCCACTGTCCAGGTGCTTTGCTTCTGGAGCTGCTGACCGATTTGCAGCAGCTGGGAGAGCAAAGTACCCAAAAAGCTCTGGCAGTGGGTGGCTTTGGTTCTTGAGAGCGATGCAGATGATGCGGCGATGAGGGAACCCGATTGAGTCCAGCGATGCTTGGAGCCTGGGCACCTGCAATCGCAGCCTTCATTGTGGGAGCGATGCACGTGGAAGAAGCACCCGGAAGCACACGGAAGCACCGCTACTTCCGTCACCTCTTGGAACCTCGACTTTCCATGTAAATCCAGCTCAGTCGGCTTTGCAGGTACCATTGGTACCCTGAGCAGCACAGGTCTGTCGAAGCAGCTGCATGTTGGTCAAGATGGTGCCTCAGTGACCTCGAAGAAGCGCTTGAAGCTGTGCTTACTTTGGCTGAAACAAAGGACTCTGCTGCTGAAAGTGTTAGCCATAAACGCGCAAGTGGCCATCCCAACTGAATTGAATTTGAACATCAAGAGAGATCCTATTTTTGCCAACAAACAATAGGTGGGTCTCCAGCCTTCAATAGCGAGTTGTAGCATGTTGTAGCCATTTCCTTCCGCCTGAGTTGCAAGCAGGCCATTTTTTCTCCAGAAAGCTTTCGCAATTGAATCGTCCCCACTTGCGTTTTGGCTTTGTGGGACCCTGTGCCACTGTGTTTCACTGCTGTGTTTGAATCTGTTGGAAGTTTCAAAGTGACATGTACAAGTTCAAATTAAATCAGTCAGCAGTACAACCAGTATTTCTGTTTTCAATCTGGAGTCTTTTCCTCAGCACAACAGAGGTGACATCCAGCTTTTAGGGTTTCAAACCAGTTACATCAGAAGTCAAAGCACCATTTTGGCTGGTTTTATGGCTTTGTTTTTGGGCCCCATTTGGCACCATGCTAATGCAGTCTACTCTTATTGGGCATTGCCGCGGCCAAGTGTTTGGAATTGATGTAAGCGATGTAGAACAAAGCTTCTACGGCCAACTTGCTGCCAGCTCATCCAGGGACTTTGAAATCAGGTTCCACGTGTAGAGATGTGTTCCGAGACGCCAGCATTTTGCTTTGGAGAACAGGTCCACTACTTGTCGCGCCAGACGAACGAATGGATCCCAGCTGTGGTTCAAGGCCATGTCATGGTTGGTCAAACACGTTACTACAACTTGGATGTCCAGGAAGCTGCCGATCCCAGCCGAGTGATGTCCAGAGAGCAGTATGAAGCAATGAAGTTCGTGAATCCGGTGAATCCATTGACGGAAGTCTTTTGCTTTGGAGAACAGGTGCGCTACCTGTCCAGAAGTACTGGACAATGGATTCCTGCTGTCGTTCAGGGCCATGTCATGATCGGTCAAGAGCTTCACTATCACTTGGACATACAGGAGTCGGCTCACCCAAGTCGCGTGAAGCGGGAAGCTGGGCAAGCAGCTCAAGCAACTCAAGCAACTCAAGCAACTCAAGCACAGTATCCACAGTATCCACCAAGTGCCATGGCTCCCACAGTCCCTGCGCTCCCTGAAGTTCCAGCTCCACCAGCACCAGCACCAGCACCAGAGCCTCAGGTGCCTTGCACCGCTGCTTCGGTGAACTCGCGCCCGGTGCCTGCGCCGTTGGAAGACTCCGTTTGTGCTCTGAGGGTGGCATCTCCAGCGCCTCGTGCGAAAGCAATCTCGGTGCCACAAAGCCGCCAGAGAGAAAGCATTCCACCAGCCGCCAAAGCTCCAGATAAGACAACTAAGACCAGCTGTGAGATGCAAGATGGTTTGAAAGAGCCTGAAATTGTGAAAGGGGGTCCTGGGGGTCTTGAACGTGTTGAACGACCTTCTGACCTCTTCAGTCAGAAGACTTTTTTGGATGAGCCCCATTTTGGGCTTGCCAGGGAGACCTTCCCCGATTCGCCTGATTCACTGTCTTTGAATGTGTCAATACCTCTGATACCTGTGGCGCCGCAGACTCGGCATCGAGTGGAGCAAGTTGAAGGAGCTGCTCGTCCACCGGTGCTGGTGCAGCCAGTGCAGCCAGTGCAGCCGGTGCAGCAGGTGCAGCGGCTGTCGGATCTCTTCAGTCAAAAGACTTTCCTGGACGAGCCACACTTCGGAGTCTCAACGACCTGTGACAGCTTGGTCGAAGATAGCATACCGGTCAACAAAAAAAAGCTGCTGTCTTGCAGCAACTTGCAGGGCCAACATGTCAGCCAATGATGTGGCTTGCCAGTTTGTAGATAGGCCGATATTTGTGAAACTTCGATGGCCAGTGTATTTCATAGATTAATACATATGGGCCTATCATGTTCAGTTGTGAATTGATTCTCAAGGTTTGTAGTTTTGAACGTGAGCCAATTGCTCACACGTCCGAATCACCATTTTTGATCAAAGTGCTGCAGGCACTCTGAGCCAGCTGATTTCAAAGCCAATTCAAGACGGGGTCACATGTTTCTCAAATAGCACAGTCCCTTCCAGAAGGGTGAAGACAGCGCAAAGCAAGCTACTGTATGAAACGGCTGCAGGCTGCAGGCGTATTTGTACATCTCAGGGAGGATCATTCAGAGTAGTTAAGTTGCTGTGGATCTCACGGCATCCAAAGTTGAGATAGTCCAGTCATGTCCAGCCAAACAGATGGACAAGTTCTTGCCCCATGGTAAGACGTGGAGCGCCCCCACAATGGGGCCGAGGTGGCCAAAGCACGGGCGAAAATCCGAAGATTCAGAGGCTGGGTCAAGACTCCAACGGTGGAAACTGTGGAAATTGTGGAAGCATATTGTAGATGTCGAGATCGTAGAATCAGACCGCAAAGAACTTGCCATCATGTTTACAGTATGTTTACAGTATTTTGCGGTTTGCTACCGGATGGGACATAGAAATGCCTAAGCCGATGAATTCGATCTCGCACATTTCTATATCTCTTAAGATCCTGCAGGAAACTTCCCATCCGAGCGGATGCAGCTGGACTGCTGCAGCTGAGTACGATTCCAAGGGTCACACATTCCACAGACTGAGACGGGTCTTCGGCTGTCCAAAATGCTGACCCAAAGTTCCTTTCCAAGGCCAAGATGCCGGTTTGAAGCAAGTGGAACGCATTGTGATCCCTCAGCTGAAGGTTGGAAGAGGGAGATGAGGGAGATCTGAGGTGGTTGTTGTTTTTTTGTGAAAGCTGTGTGTGATTTGGACCAATTTTGGACAACATTTGTGAGATTTGCAGGCGTGGAAATGGAATCCTGACTTGGCTACTCATGCGCTCAAGGCTTTGGCGCGCCTTGACAGATAGGATTCACGACGCATACGCATGTTTGATCTGGCAGCGGGATGCAGAAGCACTTGTTGAGCTCGACAGCACCACTGGGATCTTATGGCGTTCATACAAGTTGGGTCCGTTGTAGGTCTTATGTGATGGCAGGTACCATGCAGCTATTCATGGACACAGGTGGTTTTGCTGTCGTGAAGTCCCAATACTCTGAGGAAGAGGGGCTTTGTAAGACTTTGCTTGCATACGCTGAACGTCATGAGGAGAAGCGAGGTGGGGAGGTTGCCTGGAAAACTTGAGCTTGTATATTGTATACTCTATACTATATACATCTCTATACTGTATATATTTGTAATATCAATTTGTATACTTTACTGAATAAAGTGTGACCTTCCAATACCTTCCAACTCATCTGGGTGGTTTTCCTGATTGCACCGGCCATTGCATCCGCCATTGCATCGGTGGTACGTCCCAGGTGACTCCCCTTACGGCTCATTACAATGCTGCGCTGGCAGCGAGTGCCGAAGTGAAGATCCTTGGCGCGTCCAAAATTTTGTGTCACGTCTGTAGAAAACTGAGACTTGCTCTGACCATTCTGGAGGAATTCTGTCGGATGTACCTGGGGACGGGGGAGCACCTCCAAAAACCAGAAAAGACAGTCGCATAAGTCGCAACGTTGTTCCAAGATGTTCCAAGATGTTCCAAGATGTTCCAAGATATCTAAGGGAGTGGACAGTCACGCTCTTTCTGCTCGAGAGAATGCAGCAGGATGAGGCTCACCATCTCTGGTTCATCGCTGAGAGGATGTGGACCTTTCTGAAACTGAGAATCTTCGATGGTCCCTTAGCAAGCACCTTTTTCAGTCCTTCAATAGATCATTTCACTGAATAGATATCAATAGATTAGGTTTTACATCTTTTTCATGAATCAAATTCAATGATGTTCAATGAACCTATAGCTTTACAAAAGTGCAGCCAAGCTATCAGGCTGCCGTGAATGACGACACCGTGAAAGAGGCATGGTGCGAAATTGACCTCCAAGGATGCCTGTCTTTCTTAGGTATCACTACTGACATGTACCGACTGTAGCGTGATTGAGCTGTTTGGTATGTGAGTACATGAGCGACGCAGATGTTTGGCGGTATGGCACCATCGCACCGTCACTGGCGCAGACAATGAGATCTTGCAAAGCCTGGGAGCGGGCATTGGAATTTTGGATGTTGCTTCGCAGCAGAGACACCGGACTCAGTGCTCCTCAGTTGCAACTGGCACATCACATGCATATTGGTTTCAAACATCATTCCACATTTTCGCCATGATTTTCTCCATGAAAACTGGCATGAAATGGCCATCAATTGGGGGTATCCCATGGTTTTCCCATGGTTTTCCCATGGTTTTCCCATAGTGAACCCAGGTGGCATCGCACAACCACGCCATGGCTGCCATGATCCAAGCACCGAAGCTGGCGCTGGAGATCTTCGAAAACGTCCGAGATGATCCGGGCCTGGGAGCTGATGGAATGAGTCACCTGGTACCCCAATGGCTGGATGGGTTTCAATGGAAAATTCTATATATATTCAAATGGATGATTTAGGGGTACCCCTATTTGAGGAAACCTCCATTATACATACAATATATACATAACTCTCTCTCTCTCTATATATATACATACGTATAATATGTAATATGTATATCGAATGTTACAGGTGATTCATCATGATTCACCCATCAACTGTGATGGAACTATATATACATACCGAATATGAACCATGGTAGATTAGTACGCAGTGTTATTCATGATCTTTCCTTTTAGCCCTCATCAATGAAGGTTTGTATGGTTTTGCTGCCCTTAGGGTTGGAGTCATGCTTTTATTGCGTTCTTGCCATAGTGTTTATGTACGGGCAGGCCTGCTAGTGGTGCTGCGATTTGTCAACGCAGTTGATTTCTCGTGCTTCGTGGTACTTAGTCATTTTATGTGTTCATATCCCAGTGGTCAGGTTACAGTCTTGCAATCGCATGCTATGGGCGTCTTCAGCAGTGGAAGGAGCGGGCTGAAAAGGATGCATCAGACAATCCATGACGTTGGCAAATCTGTCCTGCACCCCTTCCGTTTATTGTGTTTCTTTTACCACGGTATTCGGGCAGTCAGGGTTCATCTTTACCTGCCTCCACATTATTGATTGTTGTAGTCTTGCACTTGTTTTTGTGGCAGCACTTCTGGTTTCGTTTGTCCTGCTCGTAGGAGAAAACAGGAAGACACTAGCGAGAAAATAGAGGGAACAATATTGAGGAAAAGGAGAACATAGGAAAGAAAACAGGGAGGGAAATTGGAGAAAGACATGGAGGAAAATAAGGAGCAAACTAGGGAGAAAACTAGGAGAACATAGGGAGGAAAATAGGAAGAAAAACGGGTAAAAAATAGGGAGGAAATCGAGAGAAAAATCTGGATGAACATAGGAAGAACATAGCGAGAAAATAGGGAGGACAATCAGAAGAAGAAGAAGAAGAAGAAAAAGAAGAAGAAGAAGAAGAAGAAGAATAGGAACGAAAATAGGGGAAAATACGCACTCGCTGTGCTTTGGTTGAGTGCGCATTGTGTAATCTGATCAAGGATTAGGTTCTTTTGTTGTTCCGAGATACTGTATGACAAGGGAAACAGAATCAGCAGCGGCGTTATTTTTGCATCTTCGAATCACCTGAGAAGGTGCTTATAGGTATCCGCATGCTTCAGTGGGGATATCCAGGACTCTCTACGAATGATGGAGGAGATGTCCAACAACGCTCTGGTCTCTTCCTTGCAAGGAGAGGTGGACTTTTTTTTGGACGCTGTATAGTATTATATTTGCAGTCGCCTCTCAGGTCTTGCTCTTTCATTACAACTCTGAGTAGAGTGGAAAAGGTGAAGAAGGCAAGACAAAGTGTGGCAACAAGATTCACAAGAGAAAATAGTGCATAATATATCATGGTGTGCAGTGTATAATATATATAATTATATATATATATACATTTTTTTTTACATATGTGTATTTACAATATAATATATATATATACACATGAGTATCTCTATACTGTAATATATGTATTCCTTTTTTGCTTCTGATTCCGAATTACTATTATTCTTGTTATTATTGCTACTGATTACAACATACATACATACATACATACATACATACATACATACATACATACATACATACATACATACATACATACATACATACATACATACATACATACATACATACATACATACATACATACATACATACATACATACATACATACATACACACGCACACACATGCATGCATGCACGCACGCACGCACGCATGCATGCATGCATGCATATGTAAGTGTGTGTGTATATATATATATACATTATATTTACACACATACATATGCATATAGCTAAGGTGCCTGAAGCCCTTCACTTTGCCTCCGCTATCTCGGCTCTGGGGAGATCCTCAGAATGGGAACGTTCCGTCTCCTTGTGGCAGGACGTGAAGGCAACCAGGGCATGGGTCAGTCAATTTGGGATGATCCGAATAGATTTGATATATATATATATTATATATATTATATATATTATATATATATTATATATATATTATATATATATTATATATATATATATTATATATATTATATATATTATATATATATTATATATATTATATATATATATTATATATATATTATATTATATATATATAAATATTTGGGTGTTATATTATACCATATGATTCCACTTCATACACCATATGATACTTCACGCAGCTCGTCTTTTTTGGATGTCACTCAGTTCCTAAAGAGAAGCTGCTGGCTGAACTGACCCAGAGAAAGGGTATGACGGTATGATCAATTTTCACCACATCAATACAAATCAGCTTTACTTCTGTTTCCAATGCAGAATCCCCTTTTCAACACCACATTCTGCCGAGCGCCTCTAGGCAGGGGCTGATGCCGGTGGGTTCTTTGCCATCGTGACGACCTTGGCGCATCAGCAGAAATGGTCCTTGGCGCTAGAGGTATTGAAGGAGATGATTGCAGAGGAGCCTCCTAGACAAAAAGACCTGACATGCTGTGAAAAATCGAAAAATAGATCTCACAGCAGATTGAAAGCAGTGCTTAACTAGAGTTGGTGCAGCTTTGATAGCAACGCTTCACTGACACCAGGACTTGGATCCAAAGCAGACCATGCAGGGCATCGTGAGTAAAGTGGTAGGAAACCGAGACCGCACGGCACCCGACAGTCTGATGGATTCTGAATAACCTCCAAAACTTAAGACTCTTTGAAGTGCATTTTCCTTTGCCCAGCCTCACTTGCTCTTTGTGAGGTTGACAGATCAGGGCAAAGTGCCTGGGGCTGCAATCATTTTGTCAGGGGGCCATTTGGTCACAGATGTGTCACGTCTGTAGATTTCTGATGCATCACTGCACCGTTTTGCTTAGGAACAGAAGCCCGTCCCAAAGGTGGGCGAGGAAAGCCGCGAGGAAGGCAGAGGATAAAAGGAATGAGAGAAAAATGCGCTAACGGCCGCGAAGATGCTCGGGAAAATTCACCTGATTTTGATGAAAGACACTTTGCATCATAAGTGCAGATAAGACTCAAGAGCGAAAGACTCAAGCTGATCCTGCAGTTTCCTGGTCCTTGATTGTTTCTTGCCCATTGGCTGTATTGCCCAATCTTGCAAACTCTGACCCCACTGCGCAGGGGCAAAGTGACCTTGGCTGGGGACAGTCACCAACACAGGCGGAACTCAACCAAAACCGCATCTTTGCACAGAGTACTGGGCTCCGGTGCAGGTGTTGGAAGCCCCCCCGGCTCAAGCCACCAGCAGACGTTCTCCGAGGCACATTTTGATGACATGTTTGTCTCAGTTTATCGCGCTGCATGTCAAGACTCAAACCACTCCCTTCGAACTTAAGATTTGATTGCCATTTTTTGGGTTTGGTCCAATTGAAACGAGGGCATATGAGGGCTAAGATTGCTGTCCCTATCAAAAGTATTCAAAAGTTGCATCTGTCCCCAAAGTCTTGCCAGGCAGCAGATGCAGTCAGCGCAGGTTGGAAGGGTTTTTTGAGGATATGCCTTCTGGGAATTTGTCGGTCTCTTCAACTTTCAATCAAGCAAAGTTGACTACCTGTCTTAGCTGACTACCCCAACTAAAGGATTCTAGAAAGCCGCAAGCTTCCTACTCCCCCCACTCCTGCTTCAATTCTTGCTCCTAGTTGCACCCACAATTTCATCCTTGCAAGCACGAATTCAAGTATCACTACATCTATGGACATGGTGTAGTCATGCACCACTTCGTTCTTCTCCTGCAAGTGCCCCGGACCTGTCAAGAGTCAAGAGCAAGATGCACATTGTTGTCGGAACATTTGTGGTGTGTGTACCTTGATTGGAGAGCGGGTGTTTGTCCAGGTGTTGGAGGCCCCCCCGGCTCAAGCCACCAGCAGACGTTCTCCGAGGCACATTTTGATGACATGTTTGTCTCAGTTTATCGCGCCGCATGTCAAGACTCAAACCACTTCGAACTTAAGATTTGATTGCCATTTTTTGGGTTTGGTCCAATTGAAACGAGGGCATATGAGGGCTAAGATTGCTGTCCCTATCAAAAGTATTCAAAAGTTGCATCTGTCCCCAAAGTCTTGCCAGGCAGCAGATGCAGTCAGCGCAGGTTGGAAGGGTTTTTTGAGGATATGCCTTCTGGGAATTTGTCGGTCTCTTCAACTTTCAATCAAGCAAAGTTGACTACCTGTCTTAGCTGACTACCCCAACTAAAGGATTCTAGAAAGCCGCAAGCTTCCTACTCCCCCCACTCCTGCTTCAATTCTTGCTCCTAGTTGCACCCACAATTTCATCCTTGCAAGCACGAATTCAAGTATCACTACATCTATGGACATGGTGTAGTCATGCACCACTTCGTTCTTCTCCTGCAAGTGCCCCGGACCTGTCAAGAGTCAAGAGCAAGATGCACATTGTTGTCGGAACATTTGTGGTGTGTGTACCTTGATTGGAGAGCGGGTGTTTGTCCAGGTGTTGGAGGCCCCCCCGGCTCAAGCCACCAGCAGACGTTCTCCGAGGCACATTTTGATGACATGTTTGTCTCAGTTTATCGCGCCGCATGTCAAGACTCAAACCACTTCGAACTTAAGATTTGATTGCCATTTTTTGGGTTTGGTCCAATTGAAACGAGGGCATATGAGGGCTAAGATTGCTGTCCCTATCAAAAGTATTCAAAAGTTGCATCTGTCCCCAAAGTCTTGCCAGGCAGCAGATGCAGTCAGCGCAGGTTGGAAGGGTTGTTTGAGGATATGCCTTCTGGGAATTTGTCGGTCTCTTCAACTTTCAATCAAGCAAAGTTGACTACCTGTCTTAGCTGACTACCCCAACTAAAGGATTCTAGAAAGCCGCAAGCTTCCTACTCCCCCCACTCCTGCTTCAATTCTTGCTCCTAGTTGCACCCACAATTTCATCCTTGCAAGCACGAATTCAAGTATCACTACATCTATGGACATGGTGTAGTCATGCACCACTTCGTTCTTCTCCTGCAAGTGCCCCGGACCTGTCAAGAGTCAAGAGCAAGATGCACATTGTTGTCGGAACATTTGTGGTGTGTGTACCTTGATTGGAGAGCGGGTGTTTGTCCAGGTGTTGGAGGCCCCCCCGGCTCAAGCCACCAGCAGACGTTCTCCGAGGCACATTTTGATGACATGTTTGTCTCAGTTTATCGCGCCGCATGTCAAGACTCAAACCACTTCGAACTTAAGATTTGATTGCCATTTTTTGGGTTTGGTCCAATTGAAACGAGGGCATATGAGGGCTAAGATTGCTGTCCCTATCAAAAGTATTCAAAAGTTGCATCTGTCCCCAAAGTCTTGCCAGGCAGCAGATGCAGTCAGCGCAGGTTGGAAGGGTTTTTTGAGGATATGCCTTCTGGGAATTTGTCGGTCTCTTCAACTTTCAATCAAGCAAAGTTGACTACCTGTCTTAGCTGACTACCCCAACTAAAGGATTCTAGAAAGCCGCAAGCTTCCTACTCCCCCCACTCCTGCTTCAATTCTTGCTCCTAGTTGCACCCACAATTTCATCCTTGCAAGCACGAATTCAAGTATCACTACATCTATGGACATGGTGTAGTCATGCACCACTTCGTTCTTCTCCTGCAAGTGCCCCGGACCTGTCAAGAGTCAAGAGCAAGATGCACATTGTTGTCGGAACATTTGTGGTGTGTGTACCTTGATTGGAGAGCGGGTGTTTGTCCAGGTGTTGGAGGCCCCCCCGGCTCAAGCCACCAGCAGACGTTCTCCGAGGCACATTTTGATGACATGTTTGTCTCAGTTTATCGCGCCGCATGTCAAGACTCAAACCACTTCGAACTTAAGATTTGATTGCCATTTTTTGGGTTTGGTCCAATTGAAACGAGGGCATATGAGGGCTAAGATTGCTGTCCCTATCAAAAGTATTCAAAAGTTGCATCTGTCCCCAAAGTCTTGCCAGGCAGCAGATGCAGTCAGCGCAGGTTGGAAGGGTTGTTTGAGCTACCGGCGCTGTTAACGGACCCACAGCTTTTGCATTTTTTTTGCTGCCACAAGTTGTGCACGTCAGTTAGAAGTTGTGCACGAAGGATAGTCTGATTTTCTTGGGGAACCCGGTGTGGTGGGGGGGTGGGGGGGTGGGGTGAAGAGGGGCCCTAGCGTCTACTTCAAGATCAGCTAAGGCGTCTTCCCCAATGACAGCACTTGTTTTACTCAGCCTGTTGCCGGTCCGTGCTTGTCTACAGGGTTACTCTATATACTCTTTCTTGAGCCTTGAAGGGCGCATATAAATGTGCTCAATACTCATGCATGTACCTATGTAGGTATTAGGTCGAAACAAAAACACAGGCACAAATTCAAAAGCAATGAGTAGAGCACTACGCCTTGCCGTACCCAATTGGTATTAAGAGTATCTTCCTGACTTCTCTACACAATGGCAAATAGCAAAAGAAACCGGAGTTACGCAGTGGCTTCGAATTGAAAAACACGTGAAAGCAGCGAATGTCCTAAGGACATGTCGAAAAAGAACAGCGGATTCGCTAATTTTTCCAGTAGTGACCAATGGTGCTTCGCGCACGGTCTCTCCACAGGCAAAATGCCTCGCTCTACCGGTGAAAGTTCGAATTGAAAAGTTCGGGTTCGCAAGATTCAGAAATTCAGGTCATACGAAAAACAATTGACCAAATCACGAAATAAACGGAAATAGCGGATCTCCAAAGTTGCTCATTCAAGCAAACAATGGACTGAAATCGAAGTTGGTAAATTTTTGGAGTTCGCTCCATTCGGAGTGGTCTGCTCGCCGGAATGATTCATGGAGATAAATGTATATAGTATCTCTATTTACAAGAGTCTCTATTTTACATTAAATTGAAATTCAGACACTTGTGGCATTATCTCTATCTAAAAGAGTATATGCCATTTGTGTGAAATAAGTTGAACGCACAGAAAAACTGTACACGGCTTCTCATGCTGTGTTATCTTCAATTTAAAGAAGTATACACTCACTCATCGCCACTCACTTGATCTCCATGGTCTGGACGCTGAAGATGAGGATCCACCCCAACTAACGTTGCCCTGATACGTTGATGCTTGATCTTCATATGCTTTTCTCTTTTTCTCCTTCTGTCTTTCCTTTCTTGTATCTGCATACTGCTTCTTCTTGTAGGCTTGTTTGTAATGATGTCGTTCATTCCACGACATATCAGAAGGATCAAGATGGATAAGAATTGGATTATGAGCATCACGATCATTTGGGGCAACCATGAAGATGTTGTGATCACCATGTAAGCAAGTTTCATTTACCTTGAAGTAAAATTCACCCACATAGTTCATGTGATCTTCATCCTCAAAGTCTTCTGGGTGTTCCTCACACATCAAACGTGAATGACCCCACTCAACAACTGTTAACATACAACAATCACCTTTACCATTCGTCTTGGTCATGAGCTCGTCGGTGTATGTTGCTGTTGTAATGCCATCCAAGTGCGTTGCAAGAAAATCCAAGTCACGATAACTGCAAGAAATGAAATGCTTGACCCTGATTGGAGGGCAAGATGAATCAAAATACTTGCGCATGGCTTGTGTTGCAACACCTACCATTCTGTTGATCCAGAATTGGATAAGGCTGTGTTGGTATGTAGGGACACCTGGAGATTTTGGTGTGCTGTAATAGCATGCCTTGTTTCCATCACCTGCGATGAAGTCAACTTGATATCTGGCACACTCAAAAGCCATAACAGCTAAGCACTCACCAACAATCCCAGCAGAGTCTGATGCATACTTCTGTCCGACGTGATAAACGCACACACGTGTCATTCTCATCCTAGCTCTTGTCAAGTCAACAATCTCATCTGTATCTCGATCCTTTGTCTTTCCCCAAGATACTTCAAAGATTGCCCATGAGACTTGTCGAACTCGTGTGTCGTTGTCATCTGTGTGATATCCAGCAATTTGCTTGATATAGCCATCCTTTCCAAGGCGAGCTGCCACCATCAAGTCATGATAGTCATTGAAGCAAGTTTTAAAGTCAACCTCGTCGAGTCTTTCTCTGTGA